CTGGGAGCCGCAGGACAGGTGCAGGGCAGGTGTTCCGCGGGCAAGGGCGGATGGGTTGGACGCTTGCATTCCAATGCATGCCATGCTTGCCGCCAGCCGAACCTCGCCCGCGTTGCTGCGCCGCCTGCCTGGCTCGCAGGTGGGCTACCTGCTCACGCGGCTGCTGGCGGAGCACCCCGGCATGAATGTGCCGGTGGTGCGGGAGATCGAGCGCTTCATGTTCAGGTCGGCCGCCGGGAAGCCGCCAAGAAGCTGCCCTGCCACAATGCCAGCACAACAGCCAGCTTCTGTGCACCCTGCCCGGCTGCCGTTGCCCTGCCCTGCTGCCCTGCCCCGTTCGTGCTGCCATTGCCTTCCTGGAAGAGGGTCTGAAGCTCCCTTGGTGCAACTGTACTGCCTCTCATGTGGTCGGTACTGCAGGCCGGGGCTGCAGGACCGTGCCCGGTACTACGCTGTCGTCTACCTCAACCAGATGGTGCTGTCCCACAAGCAGCAGCAGCAGCAGCAGCAGCAGCAGCAGCCGGGCCAGGGGCAAGGTGGGCCTGGCCGCCTGCCCGGGCTTTGGGCGACGCCATAGTCTCAGGCTCTGCTGTGTGCCCGCTGTCTCTCGTGCTGCACCCTCCTTCCCTCGCTCCTTCACGCTCAGCCTTGTCGTCCGGCCCATCCTCTCCCTGCTCTGTGTCTCTGCAGGGGGCAGCCTGGCGAAGCGCCTCATCGATGTGTACTTCACCGTCTTCCGAATGATCTTGGATGGCAAGATTGGTACCGCCGCCCAGGCAAGCTGCGGGGGAGCAGGAAGTCTCACAAACGGCAGTAGCTGCGCACCGGATGGCAGTGCCGGGCGGGGGTGGCAGTGCCAGCGGCGGTCGCGGCAAAGGCTGAGCGCTCGGCGGTCGATGCCGCGGTTCCGGCGGCTGACCGCGCCGCGGCGCGCTGCTGTCGCTGTCCCGCCTGTGCCTGCTCCTGCAGCTGGCCAAGCAGGCCCAGGACAAGGCTGCCACCGAGGCCGCCAAGAAGAAGAAAGGAGAGGCGGCCAAGGCGCGGGCGGCCGAAAAGGCGCGGGCGGCGGCAGAGGCGGCGGCCACTGTGGACCAGAGCGGGGAGATGGATGGGCGCATGCTGGCCGCACTGATCACGGGTGGGTGCGGTGCGGCGCCGTGCGGTGGCTGTTTCGAGCGTGGTGTGGTGTGGTCCATGGGATGGGGTGGGGTGCAGTAGCGCAGTCAGGTTGGGCGCCGTGTATGCTGGGCCTGGCAGCAGCACTGCACACGCCAGCCCACACCCTGCCGCCCGTGTGCGCCTCCTGGTGCCTGCGCTCCGCAGGCGTGCGCCGCGCCTTCCCGTATGTGCCTGCCGATGAGGTGGAGCCGCTGATCGAGGCGCACGCAGGTGTGTGTGTGTGTGTGTGAGAGCACGCGCGCGCGCGCGCGCGCATGTGTGCATAGTGCTGTACGGGAGGAATTCGCTCAGTCGTTCCACTGTGTGTGGGGTGCGTTTGCTGCACGGATGGGCCGGGGAGGAGCAGAGGGAGGGCGTATCATCACAGTGCTGCATACACTTCCACAGTCTAAACCGCGAAACATATCAACGCACAGCTGTGCTGCCCCCTCCCTGCTCTTCCCGCAGACGCCCTGTTCCGCCTGGTGCACGCCCGCTCCCTGGGCGTGGCCACCCAGGCCCTGCTGCTGCTGTTTCAGCTCATGAGCAGCCGCAGCACCGTCAGCGACCGCTTCTACAGGTGGGGCCTGCGTGCGCGTGTTGGTGCGGTGCGTAAACAGGTTGTGTGTGTGTGTTGTGTGGTGTGTAAACAGGTTGTGTGTGTGCGGGGCTGGGGCTGAGACTGTTATGGGTCAGGCCATGTAGCTGGCTGCCCTGTTGGGTACTGGACCGGAGGCAAAAGTCGAAACGGCAGCAGTATGCGTCCCCGCCGGCCGACATGCGCCTGCTGCCGACCCGCGCAGGGCACTTTATGCGGTACTGTCCAGCCCCGAGCTGTACCGCTCCACCAAGGCCCCCATGCTCCTCTCCCTCCTCTTCAAGGTGGGGCCCAGCCTGCCCCTGCTCACCTGCTGGCTGCCTACCATTCGCTCCATATGCCATGCCGTCTCCAGGCAGCCAGCCAGCATGCGATTCCAACAGCCGCTGCGGCTGCATGCGCGTGCGCATGTGCATGTGCGTGCCCACACACGCCTGCCGTCTGTCGTTGGCGCGCCGCCCTTCGGGCCATGGCGTGCCGACCAGGAAAGGCAGGCCACAGCAGACCCCAGCCGGTGTTGTGCTAGAGCGGCTGTGCGGCCCGCCCCCGCCATGCCGTGTAAAAACCCGCCGGCACACCCTTCTCCTCTCTCTCTGCCAACCATATTTTGCACCCACGCTGCCTCAAAACAGAGTCGCTCACTCTCCTTTCCTCCGCCCACCCCCGACACACGCACATTCCATCACCACACACACAGCGTGACAAGACCATTTGCCCCTGCCTGCCTGCCTGCCTGCCTGCCTGCCTGCCGCAGGCCCTCAAGGCGGATGTCAGCTCCCGCCGCTCCGCCGCGTTTGCCAAGCGGCTGCTGCAAGTGGCGCAGGAGTCGCCGCCCCACTTTGCCTGCGGCTGCCTGCTGCTCACCTCTGAGCTGCTCAAGGCGAGGCCGGGGCTGCTGCCGCGCTGTGCGTGTGGCGAGCTGGAGGGCTGTGCTTGTTTGATGCCGTGGCAGCGGTGGAGGGCTGCAGACGTGGAGGGCTGCGCTGCTCTTGTGGGATGCCGCGGCGGCCGCGCAGTTCGCCAAGCTTGGCGTCTTGCCCTGCCTGCCACCCCTGCCATACCTGCCAGACCTGCCATGCCTTTCCGTGTCCGACCACCTCCCTTGAGGCTACCGCACGAATGAGCTCCCGCTGCTGACACCACATCGCTGCTGCTGCCTGCCCCGGCGCAGGCACGGCCGTCGCTGTGGGGCGCGGTGCTTCAGGCGGAGGAGGGTGAGGGCGACGGCGTGGAACACTTCAGAGACGCGCCGGAAAAGGCGGCGGGCGCCCCTGCGGCCGCCAAGCAGGGCGCTGCGGGGAAGCGGCGCGGGGGCGGCGGGGCCGTGCGGGCGGGGGGTGCCAGCCCTGATGCTGAGGAGGCTGAGGAGGCTGGGCAGGAGGAGGAGGAGGGGGACTCGGAGGAGGAAGCGGAGCTTGCAGCAGGGTCTTCAGAGGAGGAGGAGGAGGAGGAGGAGGCAGGCGACAGCGACGCTGACCTGATGCCCGGAGCGCTGCCGGCCTTATCTGTGCTGCCCCCGCACCAGCAGCAGCAGGAGCGGCAGCGGCAGCGGCAGCGCGACCAGCAGGCGGCGGCGGCCGCCGCGCGCTGGCCCACCAGCAAGGACGCGTATGATATGAACAAGCGGTGCGGGGACAGCTTCCCGGCAGCTGCTCGCGTGGCCTTGCATGCCTTGCCGTTTGCCTTGCCTGGGTGCGGCGTGGGGGTGGTGCTGGTGCAGCGCCTGCTTGCCAGGCTAGCCCAGCCGGCCACACGTGCCCACCGGGCACCTACCCACTGGCTCGCTTCCAGACAAGTAATCATGGAAACGCTAAATTGTATCGCGATGTTGTACCGCCGATCCCGTACCGCAGGGAACCGCTGTACTGCAATGCCGACCGCAGCTGCCTGTGGGAGCTCACCAGCCTGGCGGCGCATGTGCACCCCTCTGGTGAGCGGCGCCTGTTTTTTTTAACCTTTGTTTGTTAACCCTTGTTTTTTAACCCTAATCCTGAATCGGTTCCCTGAGGAGGCTCTGCCGGCGCCCCTGCCCCTGCCCCTGCTGCGCTGCCGCTGCCCCCGCCCCTGCTGCGCTGCCGCTGTGCTTGCCCCTGCTGCGCTGCCGCTGTGCTTGCTGCCGCGCCGGCCCGTGCCAGCGACCCTCCTGAGCGCCCTCCCACCCCCTTGCCACGCCCTCCTCACCCGCCGCCCTTCCCTGCGCGTGCTCCTGTGCGTGCATCGCTCCCGGCTGCGTGCGTGCCGCTGCAGTGGCTGCCATGGCGCGCACGCTGCTGGCCGGGCAGAGCGTGGTGTACAGCGGGGATCCGCTGAGGGACCTCACCCTGGCCGCCTTCCTCGAGAAGTTTGTGCAGAAGAAGGCAAAGGTGCGAGGGCCGGAAGGAACGTTGGGATGGCAGCAGCGGGCAGGATGAGGCCAGCCCGGTCGGCGGCAGCGGCGCGGCGCTCAGGCCGTTCTGGTTGCCGCGTTGGACCTGGGGCCGTGTGTGTGAACGGCCGTGCCTTGGGCCGCACTGGAGAGGCAGGGTGGTGGGCTCTGCTCTGACGGCGCTGTGGGCGCTCTCGCGCCTGCAGGCAGGCGCCAAGGGCGACTCGGCCATGCAGCCGCTGGCGGCGCAGCAGGCGGCGGCCGCGGCGGCCGTGCCCCACCAGTGGGCCTCGCTGGCGGGGGCCCACACGCAGGCGCTCCAGCTGTTGGCAGGTGGGCAGACTCCTGCGGCCGGGGCAGCGCCTCTGCTGGAGGCCGCTGCTGCCGCCGCCGGCGCCCCGCCTGCTGCGCCGACCTCGTGCTGCGCTGCGGCCTCCGCGCATGCGCCGCCTGCCCTACCGCGCCGCCTTGTTCCAAGCCGTGCCGCATGCCATGTCGTTTCAATGTTATTTCTTCCCTTTTTCTCTTGTTGCAGACAAGGATGTGCGACCTGACGACATGTTCTTCCACAAGTACTACAGCCTGCAGGTACCGCATTGTACTGCCACGGTATCGTATCGCCGCAATGCAGCCTGCGCCTGGCCCGCCTGCCTGGGTTCGACACAGCGCAGCCCGCCGCTCACCCTCCTTCCCTGCCTCCCGCCCGCACCTGCTCCCTGCCTCCCTGCCCTGCCTCTGCAGGCGGTACAGGACAAGGCGGCCAAGAAAAGGAAGAAGAAGGGAGGCGACGACGAGCTGCTGTCGGATGCGGGGTCGGAAGACAGCGATGCGGCAGGTGGGGCGGGCGGCCACGGGGCACGCCGCGCGGCGGGCCAGCCCTGGCGGCCGGCATCGCGCGATTGCCTATGCAGACCTCGGCCCGCGGCACCCCCGCCGCTGCCCGCCTGCGTCTGCCTCCCTGTGTTGTGCGCCACAGCCGCGGGCCGCAGCTCGGCACCACCCACATTGCCTGGCCCTGCCTCTGGCTGGAACACACAGCTGCCTGGCTTGAGCTCGCCGCTGCCCTGCTGCAGACGAGTTTCTGGCTGAAGAGGAGGAGGGCGGCGACGACGGTATCGGCGCCAACCCAGGTATACAGGCTGGGGCCCCATAGTTTGCCGAGCATGGCGGGCCTGGCGCCCTTGCTGCGGGGCCCTCGCTGCACTGATTGCCAGCTGGCCGGCCCAAGCAGCCAGCTGGGCAGGCCTTCACCCTAATCTCTTGCCCCCCTTTACCACTGCCTCCTTGTGTCGCTGCCCACGCAGACCGCTCCGGCATGGATAACGACTATGCTGACCTGGCGGCCGCCATGGACTCTGACAGCGGCGGCAGCAGCGGGGAGGAGGAGCAGGGCGGCAGCGGCAGCGGTTCTGATGGTGAGGACGAGGGAGAGGAGCCGGCGGGGGCCACCTTCAGCGATATGTCTGGCTCCAAGGGAGAGGAGGAGGAGGCAGAGGAGGCAGAGGAGGAGGAGGAGGGTGGTTCGTCAGACGGAGAATTTGAGGCGCTGCTTGCGGCGAAGGACCTGTCTGACGGTGAGCGCCAACCCAGCTGGCAGGCATGTCGGCTCTGGTGCTGCAGCGGGTGCATACTGCGGGTTGCCCGTGCGCCAGGACGGCCCACGCAGCAGGCACGGCTGCCGCCGTCGTGGCGGCCACGCCTCCTGGCAGTCTGTGACCCGCGTCCCCCGCACAATACTGAGCGCCACGTGCGGTCCCCGCCCCTGACGCCTCCCCCTCCCTCTGTGCGCCCTGCAGGCGAGGACGGCAGCGGCAGCGGCAGCAGCAGCAGCGAGGGCGACGAGGCGGCGGAGGACGCCGAGGTGGCGGCCCTCATGCGGCACCACGGCATCACGCCGCTGCCGCCGGGCGCCTCGGCGGCCTCCGATGAGGAGGAGGAGGCGCTCAATCCCTTTGAGCTGGCAGAGGCTACCAGCAGCGAGGCCGGCGGCAGCAGCGGTGAGGACGGCGGCAGCAGCAGCGAGGACGACGGCGAGGCCGACAGCGAGGAGGAGGAGGAGGAGGCGGCCGCCGTGGCCGGCGGCGGCACGCGGAAGCGAGGCAAGAGCGACGGGCTCAGCGTCTTTGCGTCCGCCGACGACTATGCCACAATGATTGAGGAAGACATTGCCGAGGGAGCAGGACTGGATGATGGCACAGAGGAAGGCGGCGGCCACGGCGGCAGCGGCGGCAGCGGCGGCGGCAGTGGCGGCCGTGGCGGCCGCGGCCACAAGCGGCCACGTGGCGGCAGGGATGGCGGCGGCCGGGGCGCGCCCCCGCCCAAGCGGCAGCAGCAGGGGCGGGGCCGGGGCCGGGGCCGGGGCGGCGGCACGCGTGGCGGGCGGCGGTAGGCGCTGCCCGGGCGTCCGTTCTATCGTTCCATCGTGATGTTGGGTGGCTTTTTCTGAAACAATCAGTTGCAGCACATCACTTTCAAGGAATAGAATGGGAATGCAGAGGATCCGATGGATGGAAGAAGGATAGGTGGAGTGAAGGGAGCTGCATGGCGGCATGCTGCGGCTGCCGGTACCACCGTTACCGCCCGCTGCGCGGCGCGGCCGGCGCGGCTCGCGAGCGCCCCACCACCGCCGCGTACGCCGTGATCGCAAGCACCACCAGCACCACGCCCGCCACCTGCGCAGCACGGAACGTGGTTGGTCCAAGCTTGGGAGAGTGAGGGCATCTGGAGGGATTTGACGGGGGCAGCAGGCAGCCTGCCGGGCCAGTCCCAGCCCAGCTGCCACCCTGCCGGCCACCCACAGCCGCCACCCTGCCGCCCCACCCACAGACAGCTGCCACCCGCAGCCCCACCCACCTGCACCCCCGTTTGCACGATGGTCACCCCCAGCACGATCTTTCCAGCCACCACGCTGCCTATCAGCCGCAGGCCGAAAAACATGCTGACTGTGGTGCCCCCCAGCCGCACCGTGCTCTCCTGCAGCGCCACGAAGCAGGCTGTCCCACTCAGGCGGCGGCACATGCGGCACATGCGGCACATGCCGCATGCCGCACCAGCGCCGGCGCCTGCTCGGGCCGCCGCCTCCCGCAGCCCCCTGGGCTGGCTGGCCTGGGCGCGGCCCGGCTGCCGGCGGCGGGCGTGGCTGGTGTTGGGCGGCTGCACGCCGATATGCCAGGCGCCGGTGCTGGCGCATGCGGCACAGGACACGCCACAGCCCCGGCGCTGACCCAGGCCGCCCTAAAAGGCGCTCACCGAAATGAGGATGGCGATCCAGGCATGGGCGATGCAGGCGCAATAGATGAGCGCGCCCCAGTCCCGCGCATCCATGCCGCGAAACTGCGCCGCCCAGTCTGTACCGTCCACGCCCAGCGATATCGGCAGTACAAGCAGCAGGTTCATCCAGATAATGCAGTACTGCACCTCGCCGGCCTCCAGGCTCGTGTCCTTGAACGCCTGGCAAGAGGTTGGGGAGGAAAGCAGGTGACCAGGTCAGGACCAGGGCGGGCAGGGCGGGCCGCAGGGAGACGCCGTGTAGGCAGCATGCCATCAGCGGCGGCGGAGGAGCTGAGTTTATTTTGTACTTAGCTGAATGCCGCGGGCGCTGGCATGACAGCAGCCCAGGCAGCAGGCAGCAGCCGGCAGGCGGGCGAGGCCCGGCAGCCGGCAGCCTCAACGCCAGCAGCCGGGATGTCGGCAACGGGCAGCGGCGGCAGCGGCTGGGCTGGCAGACCTGGGCCAGGAGGATGAAGAAGACGTTGCCTAGCATGGCCCCAACAGACGCCGCAAAGCCCAGCCAGGCGCGTCCCGTGGTCAGGCTGCCGGGCTCACCCGCGCCAGCCTGCAGGCGGCAGCATGGAGCGGCGGTGGGGGCTTGCACAGGAAGGGAGGGGAGGAAAGGGCAGGACACGCAGGGCAAGAGACACGGGCAGCATCAGCAGGAGGCAACAGCGCAGCAGCAGCATGGCAGCAGCACCAAAGCGGCGGCAGCAGCGGCGGCAGCCAGGGGGCCCTGCCTGTATGTCTGGCACCAGCAGCATGGCGGCGCCGCCGATCATCACGCCAGCGGCCGGCGCCACGGCAGCCCAGCGCAGCGGCGCCTTGAGCCACAGGCGCCCCAGCAGGGCCACCCCCACCACAGTGAACATGGACACAAGCATTACTGCAGGCGGGGGTTGGAGCGGCGGGATGGTACCACTGCAGGGCAAGCTGGAAGCCACATGCAGGAGTGTCGCCCCCTAGGGGTTGGGCAGGGGGCACAGCGCTCCTCTCCGGCTTGGCTGCCACAATGCCGGCTGTCGGCTCAACAGGCAACAAGGGTGGGCCAGTGTAAACCCTGGGACGTGCGCTGGGCTGTGCGTGCACCTACAGCTGGGATGCGCACCCACCTACAGCTGGGTCCACCAGGCCTGGCGCGATGTTCTGGCCCAGGATGGCGGCCTCATAGCAGGACGCACACGCCAGCAGTACAGCGGCGCGGTGCGCCCTGGGGTGCAGCCGGTGCAGCCGCGCCAGGCCGGGCAGGGAAGGGCCCTGCGCCGCCGGCAGCCTGCTGCTGCTGCTGCGGGCTGCAGGCTGAGCCTCACAGGGCCTCGGACAGGCTTCCAGAGGCGCTGCTGCTGGCTCGCATGGCGGCGGCGGGATACAAACGCTGGCATCAAGCTTGCTGCTGCTGCTGCCGTCATCGCCGCCGCCGCCGCCGACGACGACTCCCCTGTTGGCGCTGAGGTAGGAGGCTGAACGCTCGGTGCCCGCCTCAGCCTCCGCCTCGGCCTTCCCGGGGCCCAGCCCTGCGCGCTGCCGTGCCAGGCGCCGCCGCTGCAGCACCAGGCGTGGCAGCGAGTAGCAGAGCAGCAGCGTGGGCAGCGCCAGCAGGTTGAGGACAGAGGTGAACCTCAGGGGCGGGAAGGGAGGGGTGGTGACAACCTGGTTGGCAGGGTGGGGGGAGGCAGAGGGAAGGCCAAGGGGTCAGCAGCGGCAGCGGCCCGAGTGTGGACACAAAGGGCACAGGACACAGCAATCTCTGGAGCGAACAGCAATTTCTAAAGCTGAGACAGCACTGACCTGGAGATAACGTGCCAGCACGCCCAGCAGGGCCACCATGACTGGCACGGCCGCAGCCACAAACAGCCACAGCAGGAGCCACGGCAGCGGCATGCGCGGCTCAGCGTGGCGGGCCGGCGGCGGCGGTGGGGGCTGCCGCTGCTGTGGCCCGCCAGCCGAGCGGCGCGCTGGCTCCTGCTGCTTTTCGGACTCTTCATGTTGCTTGTGACAACCGCTTGCGGGCAGCTGCGCCTCGGGAGCCATGCGGTCCGGGGCACCCTTGCCAGGAGATGCCTCTCCCGCTGCCTATACCTTTACAGGCTCATAAGACCGAGCGTTCGTTTCAGCATAAATGGTGCAGGGCGCTGCTAGTGCATTGCAAAGATGACAGGACCGGTGGCGGCGCCACCGTGGCGGCAGCGGCGGTGCCGCCGCCTCGTTGCAACAGGCGGCCAACGAGGGCCTCTCAGCCGCAAGCGCCCGGCACTGCCCCAAGTGTCCGTCGGCCCGACATTGATGGATGAATGCTGGCCAGGCATGTGCTCCTGGCTTCCTGAGCAGGCAGCAGTGGGTGGCACCCGTCACCAGCCGTGTCACAGCGCTGCTGTCTTTGGAGTTGGGGGACGTTTGTGTTATTACCACAGGACACACAATGAGGTGCGACGCATGGCAGGAGAGGGAGAGACGAACGCAAGCCTCAAGCTCACGACTTGCGGTGGGGCTGCTTCTGCATCTGCCTCTCTCGAACACAAGAAGCAGCGGGGGCCCGTGCTGTGGTCGACCAAGGATCATGTGACTGGCTGCTGCTGCTGCTGCTGCGGGGCTGCGGGCTGCGGGGCGGGCGCCTTCACGCCTCCTGCACCGCCGCCGCACGAGCCTCGGCGATGGCCGCCAACCGCTTGTGCTTGCGGCTGCCCTCCTTCAGCTGCTGGCCCTCGGGCACCTGCAGCCAGACGGACAGACAGCCCGCCACACAACCCAATCAGCGCTCCGCTCGCCGCGGTAGACAGGGTCTGAGGCACAACCACCACCACTGCCGGCTGCCTCCAAGCACACATGCCACCTCACCCCATGGCAGCGCATGGCTCAGGGCCGGGTCCTTCCTCTCCCACCACCACCACAGCCCCGCCACACCGCTGCGCTGCCCGCCTGCTGTGCTGTGCTGTCCCATCTACCGACTGTGCCCCTCTCGTACCGCCGCGCACCTGGTACTGCTCAAAGGGCACCACCGTCACCGAGGAGCGGCGCGAGTTCTTCTCAAACACCACCACGCCGTCGATGAGGGAGAAGAGGGTGTAGTCGCGGCCCAGGCCCACGTTCTTGCCGGGGTGCACCTGTTTGAGGGAGAGAGGGCATGCGCGGGGCAGGTGAGGGACGCATGGGGGGACAGACGCAGTGGCACTGGGAAGGAGGGAGGACAGGGGACGCAGCGTTGGGGAAGCCAGCCGCGAGGGCAAGGGCTGGGCTGACAGGCTGCCGCGCTGCCCCCTGCCGCGGCTCCCCGCCTGTGCAGCCAGGCAGCAGCGGGCAGGCATGCGCCCTGGACTCGCGCCCACCTTGGTGCCCAGCTGGCGGATGATGATGCCGCCCGCATTCACCGGCTGCCCGCCATACACCTTGACGCCGCGCCGCTTAGACACAGAGTCGCGGCCGTCTGCAAAGGGCGGGGAAGGAGAAAGCAAGCGGCGTGACACACTCAACTCGCCGGCATGTGCCGCGCGGAGGCTGCACGGGGACTGCGCGTGCCCCGCCAGTTCCACGGTGCCGGCAGCGAGCGGAGGGAGGCCTGGCCGATGCGGCAGTCCAGCCGAGCGTGCCGCCAGCAACGCATGGGCGCATGCAGCGATGCCATGGCTGCCGCTGCTGGCTGCTGCTCGAGCCCTCCTGCTGCTCACTCTTGGTGGAGCCGGCACCCTTCTTGTGGGCAGCCTCAATCGTGAGAGGAGCCAGCGGCGCCGCAACGCGCAGGCTGGCGCGCTGCTGCAGCTGCTGGCCGCCCAGGAAGCCGCTGCTGCTCAGCTTGCTGCCGGCAAAGGTGGATGCCAGCATGGTGCCGCTATGTGGCTGGGGCCTGCAAGGCGCCGCACGCGAGCAGAGGCAGGGTGACGCACGAAGGGCCGGCGACCGCCGCCGCCGGCCCCTCCCCGGCAGAGCGCCTGGCCCACCGCGCCCCGCGCTCCGCTCGCGCCCATTTGCTGTCTGCTGCCACGAACAGCGCTTCTACAGCCCAGGGAGCGGCACCGCCCGCTGAACTCACTTGCGGGAGTGACTGGCACACTCTCTGCACGCTGCAACACCAATGCGGCGGCCCCGACGGCGTGTCCTAACTTCCACAACAGGTGGGTAGCAGTGCGAGGCGCGCAAGTGTGGTGGAAGTGCTCGGCGCCCAGCAGCCCAAGCCGGGGACACAGGGTGGGGCATGCCGGCGAGATAGAGGCCCATGTGCGGCAATGCATTGTCACAGCCAGACCCTAGCATGCATTGTAAACATGCCGCAGCGCCGGAGCCCTGCCGCCGGGGTTGCCGCCTGCCGCCGCCGCCCCTCAGGGCGCCGCCATGCACGTGGCTGTGCCCCAACTTGTGCAGAAGGTTGCGGTGCTGTCTGCGTGCAGCAGTGAATACTAAACGAGCATTTTTGCTGATGCATCAGCTGCCTAATTGTCTAGCGGGATGGCGGCGCTCAGCAAGCTGCCAACCTGTTGCGGCACTTTGACGTCATGTGTGCCTTTGTCAAACACGCAAGCGCAAGGATTCTGCCTGCAAGGCCGACTGTACACACAACCTGGGGTGCGCACGCTGCTGCAGCTCCCGCCATGCCACCATTCTTGGCCGGTCTGCGCCGTACCGCCCGCCACCTGGCGATCATCGCAGGAGTGCTTGTGCCAGGCCTCATCAATGGCAATTGAGGCTCTGTCGGTCAATCACCAAAGCTAGGAATGGTTGGCACGCCTGCTGGGGCAGCAGCGGCTGCAGCAGCGTCTCCCCCTCTCCCTCGGCGTCCCCTCACGCGCAGCCAAGGCTCTCGGTGCGGAGCAGACTCGTACAGGAGTCCGTGGCAATCGCCGCAGCGCCACGCCGGCAGCACCTCTCGAGCCGCCGCCGCCGCCGCCGCAATGCGTGGTGCCACCGACCCTGCCCAACCAGCTGCGACGGGCATAGCCAAGCCTCAGGCTCCAGCCAGCGGCTACCAGGTGCTGCAATCCGTGCAGCAGCTGCCGGACAGGTACACGGGTGCGCTGCTGGATCAGTTTGGGGTTTTACACGATGGGGAGAAGCCGTACCCTGGGGCCATCGAGGCGGTGGCCCAGCTGGCCGCCAGAGGCATGAAGCTGCTCATCATCAGCAACTCCAGCCGCCGTGAGTGCCGCCACTGCGACTGGGGACCTGCATGATACTGCGTTTCCTGGTGCCATTTGCTTCAGCCTGCATTGCCAGGCGAACCGTCAGCCCGTGCGGATGGCCAGCTGGGCTGATGCATGTGCAGCTGAGCCCAACCGGTGCCACCACTGGCTGGCTGGCCGCCGCCGCCACCTGCAGGGTCTGCTGGCGCGCTGAAAAACCTGGAGCGCATGGGCTTTGACCCCGCCTGCTTTGCGGGCGTGGTGACCAGCGGCGAGGTGACGCACCGCCACCTGAGCCAGCGCCCCGACGCCTGGTGGGCGGCGCTGGGCCGCCGCTGCCTGCACTTCACTTGGGCGGCGAGGGGGGCCATCTCCCTGGAGGGGCTGGGTCTGGAGGTGACTGACGACCCGCAGCAGGTGAGCAGCCCTGGATGGCCGACACATGCAGTGGGCGCTCCTGTGCGGAGGGTTGAGTGCTGTGGTGGGGTGCTGTGCAGGGCAGCTGGCTGGCATAGCATCGCATTGGCATAGCATGGCATTCTGTGGGTCGGCCCCTCAGCTGAGTCACTCCCCTGCCGCCCCCCGCCGCCGCCAGGCCGACTTCATCTTGGCGCACGGCACCGAGGCGGTGGGGACGAGCGTGGATGGCAGCGGGGCGGCGCCGTGCGGCCTGGAGGGCATGCGGGAGCTGCTGGACGCGTGTGCGGCGCGGGGAGGGGTGCCCATGGTTGTGGCCAATCCTGATGTTGTGACGGTGGCGGGGACGGAGCTCAGGTGGGGTGGGGGTGGGGTGCCTGCCGCACTGCCCAGCCGGCTTGCCCAGGAGGGCAGCTGCCGCGGGCTGAGATCAAGCAGCCGTCCCCTGACGCCATCAAGCTCTCGTTGCCCATCTCACGGCTCGCTGTCCGCCGCTGCAGGGTGATGCCGGGCACGCTGGCACGGCACTATGCGTCGCGGGGCAGCCAGGTGGTGCTGATGGGCAAGCCGGCGCCGGCCATCTACTCGGCGGCGCTGGAGTTGCTGCAGCTGCCGCCGGGCGAGGTGGTGGCGGTTGGCGACAGCTTGGAGCACGACATTGGCGGCGCGCAGGCGGCAGGCGTGGATGCCCTGTTCGTGCTGGGAGGCATCCACCGAGAGGATGTGCAGCTGGCGGCGCGGCAGGCGGCAGAAGGCGGGCCCGGCGGCGGCGGCGGCGGCGTTGTAAGCGCAGGCGGCTATAGCTTCAGCGAGCGGCGGCTGGCGGCGGCGTGTGAGGAGCACGGGGTGGCGGCGCTGCACTATGTGGTGCCCTACTTTGCCTGGCGGCAATGAGCCGAGTCGGCGGCAGGTGGCGGCGCAGTGGCGGCGATTGGGGTCTGCTCCTGGCGCCTCCCCTGTATCAACTCGATCGAATCCTCGTCTGTAGATCATCGCCAGGTGTCTCCTGGGTCTGCAAAGCGTCCCGTTCTGTTCAGGCAGACGGACTGTACTCTTGTAGTACTGCCTCCCCCTCCCTCCCTCGCTCGTGGCCGCTTTTGAGTTCCCGCCTCACCACAGGCCCCGTGTTCTGTTGCACATCGCCCAGCGCCCCACCGCGCCGCCTGAAAAGCCGCGCGACAGCCGACAGCTACCTACAGCCCATGGCCGCGTGAGCCCCTGGGCGGCCAGCAACAGCCATGGCGACGGTGGCCGACAAGGAGAACGCCGGGGCGGGCGGCCCCCGCGCCTTCAGCCCCACCGAGCTGCAGAACATGCTGGGGACGTGCCTGAAGATGGCCTCGGAGAACAAAATCACGCCCCAGAACACCTGGGCGCTGGGCCTGATCGACCAGCTGCCGGCGCTGATCCGGGAGGAGGGCGGGCAGCAGACCAACTTCCAGCGCGCCAGCGTGACGCTGGACGCGGGCGTCAAAATCTACTCGTACCGCGTCGACTCGGTGCACACCGACACCTTCAAGATCCTGGGCGGCCTGGGGCGGGCCTCCAAGGACACCGAGGATGAGGAGGGTGCGGGCAGGCTGCGGCAGCGTGCTGTTGGCGACGGGCGCGGGAAGCGGGAAAGGGAGCCCTCCCGCCGCCGCTGCGCTAACGCAGCCACCGCGTGCCATCTTTCTTCCAGCCCCAGGCAGACCCCGCACTGACCATGCTGCATCCACCTGTGCCTGCCTCCCGTGCAGTGGGCGAGCTGGGCGATGGCGGGGTGGGCGAGGAGGCGGGCAGGCGGCGGCGCCGCACGCACGAGCTCAACCCTGAGGCCACCCTGGAGTCCTCCCTTGAGGCCCTCAACGTCAAGAAGTTCGACCTGGCGTTCACCGTGGACCCTCTGTTCCACAAAACATCTGCCCAATTCGATGAGGGCGGCGCACGGGGTGCGCGACTGACGAGATCTGCGCTGGTGCCGCTGCCGCCGGCGGCCTTGCTGCCTGGGCTTGGGCTTTAGGAGCATGGATGTCGGCACCTGCGCACCCGCTGTCGCTGCTTGAAGCATTCGGCAGGAGATGGGAGAGGGCAGCCCGCTGCGTGCTGCTTGCAGCAGCCGGTTACGCACGGCCCGCCAGCGGCAGCGGCAGGCTTGGCGGTGGCGCCGAGCAAGAGCTTCTCTGCTGCCTCCGCCACCCCCCCGTGCAGGCCTGCTGCTGAACAACCTGAGCGTGTTCCGGGGCTGCGACATTGTGTTTGACTCCATGGACGTGCCGGAAAAGGTGCTGGATGGGGCGCAGCAGCTGGACCCTCGTGCCACGGTAAGCGCTCGTAGTTTGGTGCGGGCTGGGGCAGTGCGGGTGCGGTAGTTGGCTGCCTGGCAGAGCTGCCGCTGTCCATGCTGCCGCCCTGCCCCATGGCGCACTTGCACCTTCTGGAGTGTGCATGGCGTGTGACCGGCTGGCTGCTGCCGTGGCCCTGCATGCGGTGGCTGGCAGGTGGACCTGGGCGGCCTGCACCAGCAGCTGGCGGCGCTGCAGCTGGCGTCTGGCGCCGAGCGCATCTCTCCAACGCTCGACGCCATCCTGGAGCTGCTGGATGAGTCGCCGGCGGAGGAGGCGGCGGCAGAGGCGGAGGAGTTTGTGGCACAGGTGGCTGCAGCCGCGAGCAGCAGCGGCGCAGGCGCCCCCACGCTGGCCCTGCCCTGGGCGCGGCGCGGCGAGGCGGCGTCTGCCCCGCTCCCCGAGGAGGGGGATGCGCAGGCGGCGGAAGCCGAGGGCGGCGAGGGCGGCGAGCAGCAGGCTGGGGAGGCCAGCATGGAGGGCGTTGTGGCAGAGTATGCGCATGCGGCGGCGCCAGATCCAGCGGATGCAGGCGAAGGTGCGGCGCTGCTGGGAGCGGAGGACACAGCCGTCGTGCCGTTCAGTCGGTTGCTGGCAGCCCTGGCGTGGCTAGCAGCTGGGCCTGCTCATCGCCCTGGCCATCCACGACAATAGTGCTTCTTTCTGCGCATGCGCCCTCGCGTGCCGTTGCCTCGCATGCCCCTCTCGCGCAACCCCACCCTCCTGCCTCCCCCCACCCTGCCCGGCGTTCACCAGACTATGGCTACGACGACGGCGGCGACTTTGGCGGCGGCTATGACGAGTACTCGGATGAGGAGGCGCAGCACTCGGCCATGCCGGGCGGCGAGCAGGCGGCGGCAGAGGCAGAGGCGGGCGGCGCCGGCCAGGTGTGCGCGCGGGGGCAGCTGGAAGGCTGGTGCTGGTGCGAGCCGGGCTGGCCGTGGCTGGGGCGTATGGCTGTCGCCGCTCGAGCGGCACGGCGCCGCCGCGTGTGGCAGCGCGGCAGCCGGCCGGCGCTGTTGGGGCGGCGAGCTGAGCCAGCTGAGCTGAGCGTTTGCATGGCTGGATGCAGGCTGCCGCCGCCGCCGCCGTGCATACCGAGGTGCTGGGCGAGGATGCGATCCAGTGGCTGATTGAGGCTGGCAGCAACAGCATGGTGACGCGGGCCAAGGGGTGGGCGGGCGCCTCGCACTGGAAGTACCGCGCTGTACCGCAGGTGGGTGTGGCGTTGTACCACACTGTACTGCTGAAGGTGTACTCCACTGCACGACTCGAGGGGTGTGGGGATGGGGGGTTGGGAGGGCCCCATGTCTGCAAAAGAGCAGATGGTGTCTGCTCACGGTCCAGCCACACTGGGCATCACACTGGGCATCACACTGGGCTGTTGAATGCTTGCTGCTGCAGCCGGTTGCCGAGGAGGAGGAGGGCGGCGAGGAGGGCGTGGCTCGGCCCAAGAAGCGGTCGACTGCCAGGTGGGCGCAGCTGGAGCTGCAGGCCGTGCGCAATGCATGCACCTGCCAGGTGCAACCCCTTCAGTTCCTGCGCGTGATCCTTTATGTGTGAAAGCCACTTTCGTCTGTGTCCGTCCCTCTGGTACAATGCAGGCGCAAGAACGACCCCCTGGACTTTGTGGCGCTGATGGAGCGGCAGGAGGCAGAGGCGCAGGCGCCCGACTTTGAGCTGATGCCCCGGCGCGAGGCGGGGGCGGCCCGGCGGCCGCGCCGCGCCAAGCCCGCCGCCAAGACGCTGCTGCCCGAGGATCACCACTACAAGGTACGGCTGGCGCTGGCGCCTGGAATGGTTGGGAGGTGCCCGAGTGGCTGGTGGAGTTGTTGTTGGAAGGGCCTGTTTGCAAAGGGCTGTTGGTGTGACAAGTGATGGGTATGGCGCGCACCAAACTCAACACCCTCCTTCCTCCTGCTCCACCCGCCCACCCTCCTCCTCCTCCAGGTGGAGAACCTCAACCGCTACGCGCTGCGCCCCCGCAACGCCATCATCGCCGCCCCCGGCGAGGCGGCAGCGGGCACGGCCGAGGCGGGTGCCGAGGGCGCCGCCGAGCAGCCGGCGTTTGACGACGCCGACGGCTTTGGCGACTTTGGAGGAGGTGGGTGGCGGGCAGCAGGGGCAGGCGCTTGGCAGCAGCAGCAGTGGCAGCAGCGAAGCAGCAGCAGAGCACGTAGCAGCATGCACACTGTGCGGGCTGGCGGCCAGGCTGCAAGCCTGACCGGAGCCCCGCTGCGTCCCGTCTTTCTTTCTGGCAGGCGGCTTTGATGATGACGACGACGATGGCGGCGAGGGCGGCTACGACGGCGGCTGGGGCGACCTTGGGGACGCGTTCAGCGGGCTGGAGGGGATGGAGGGCGAGCATGCCGACATGGTGCAGGTGGGGAGCCTGCTGCTGCGCCGCAGCGCCCAGTGCCACGGGCTATGGCATTCGCCCGCTTTGTGCTCTGCAGAAACGGATGCAGGGGAGCAGCGAAGGCCCCGAGGCGCAAAGGCTGGAGGGGGTCATGAAATCCTTTGTGCTGTGCCGGGGTGACGACGTGTATCTGCGCTGCGCTGTGCCTGCGCTGTGCCACGCAGGCCACGCGCCGCGTGGAGCGTGTGGAGGTCAACTACAGCCGGGCAGCCAAGCAGGTGGATATGCGGTCGCTGAAGGAGCTGATGTGGCACGGCATGCACAGCGTGGAGGGCGTGCCGCCCAGCCCCGACACAGTGCTGCAGTTCCAGGTGGGCCTCTGTGGTTGTGGGCTGTGCTGGTGGTGGCGGGTGGGCAGCCCTGGGAGGGGTGTGGGCGCTGCTGCGCTGGATGCCCGCATGCCTGGCCGGCTTGCAGTCACCTGCACCGCGTGTGCAGTCGTTTGTGTGTGTGTGTGTCGGGAGGCACCATGCGTGTGGCAGCTGCCCCATCCTGCTCATTCCCACGGGCCCTGCCACCCCCACCTCTGCCCGCTTCCACAGGATGTGCTGAGCACGGTGCCGGAGCGCAACGCCGCCGGCAGGCTGGAAGACCTGTCTGGTGAGCCAGCACGCCCAGCAGCAGCTCGCCAGGCAGGCAGCAAAACGCATGCCCTGCATGCCCCGGCCGCCCCATGCCCGTCCTCCTCACACAGACACACCACCGTCACATCCGCGCCCTCACAGCGCCCCTCCCCTTGCCTGTCTCCTGCCCGTCCCGCAGTGCACCTGTGCTTCATCTGTGTACTGCATCTGGCCAACGAGCACGGCCTGGTGGTGCGGTCGGTGCCCCAGCTGGACCAGCTGCTCATCTCAAACGTGCCGCCAGCGGAAGCGCAGTAGGCCGCTGGCTGCCTGCCCCGACGAGCCCGCCAGCGGCCGCCCCTGGCCAGCAGGCGCCGGCAGCTGCGCTGCTGCGCACCAACGCTTGGACGCGGTGCCAGCGCCGGCGAGCAGGTACCTGGGCCACTGCAATACCCCAGCATGCATCCCCCGAGCGGCACTGCGAGCAGGCGGCCCCCAACCGCAGTTTTCATTCAACACCGGCATTGAACAGCGCATCTGCGCTGCCAGCTGACGCTTCTTTGACTTGGCTTTTGTTGTAACATAACGCTGGGCAGTTGAGAGAGGGGTGTGGACCCTCCCGCCGAGCCGCCGCCCCGCTGGGTGCAAAGCGCAGCGTGCCGCCAACAGCTTGTCCCCGTACATGCTGCTGTTCCCTGGCTCCCCTCGCTGTCCACCTTCAACCCATCCAGAAACCCATCCAGGAAGGCAGACAGCAGCTCGAATCATGGCTATGTGGAAGGGAGCAGTGGTGCTGGGCGTCCTGCTAGCGCTGCAGACCGCTGGACTTCAGTATTACTACCAACAGAAGTATGAGGGATTGGACCCAGCAGCATGTGAGCCTTCACGGGCTTAGGCCCCCTGCCTCCAGCGCTTGAACGCAAACGCGCTGCCGACCCCCGCGCGCTCCCATCCGTCATGGGAGTGCGCCAGCAGCGCGAAGCACGAGGGGAGCCGGCCGATGGAGCCGCGCCCGCCCGCCGCACCTGCCGTCCCGCCGGCCCACCCACCTGGCACACCCCTTGGGTCGCTGCCCCTTGGACCGGCTTTGGTTAGCCAGCCCTGTACTGTGCCACAACTGGCGTCCCATCCTCGTTCCCTGCCGGCGCTGCAATGCAGGCCGCGCTGCACTGGCCGAACTGGCCGCCGCCGGCGCCACCTCTGCGCCGCACATCGAAGTGGCTAAGGAATGCACAGATGCGGACGAGCGCTGCGAGCAGTGGGCCAGCTCTGGTGAGCAGAGGGAGTGAGAGAAGGAGGGCTGTGCATTCAGCGCGGCTCTCCCTGCCGGTCCCTGCCGGCTGCTGCTGCTTGATGGGGGCTTGCCGCGGCCCTCTGTGTTCTGCTGCTGCCTGCTGCTGCCCTGCCCGTTTTGCCACGACCAGCCGCACCACAGAACGGATGCTAACTCCTGCTGCTGCTGCTGGTATTGCTACACCTGGTCCTGTGCCTATAGGGGAGTGTGAGAAGAATGAGGCCTTCATGATTGGCACGGAGCAGGCCCCCGGGCAGTGCGTCAAGGCATGCAACAAGTGCCCAGGCGTCGCCGCGGCCACCGAGGCCCCGGTCGAGGCGGACGTAGCTGTTGAGGCTGAGTGAGCGGCACACTTCCAGGCAGCTGGCAGGGCGGGGTGGAGCGCTGGGCAGGTGGCAGCGCCGCCAGAGGCCCTGGCCTGCCGACGGCAGGGCAGAAGGGTGGCGGGCAAGGGCGCCCACCATCCCGTTCTGTTTCCTGTCAGCCTGTGACGGATGCATCCCATCTTTCCCCCACCTTGCCGTCTTTTCGTTTCCTGCCTTCTCTCGTCCTTCAATGAATCACGCCCCATGCAATGCACGTCCGATGTTTGCCTAGCGCCTGGCATCGCCATGTTCCAGCCACAGAGCTGGGTAGTGGGGGCGGGTGGTGGTAGGCACACCCAAGCAGCAGCTGCAGCAGCAGCAGCACATAATTTTCGCCTTGGCCAGCCAGCCGCCGTATGCCACCAAGCACGCCGCCGCACGCCCGCCACCCGCTGTGGGAGCACAGGCAGCAGCTCGGCGCTGCTGCATGCCGGACCACTCCCGCCGTACAGGCCGCCGCCGCCGCCGGCCCACCCGCCGCCCACCTGTGAACGGAGAAAAGCCGGCCTGCTGCCAGTGGGGCGCGATGGTGCCGCCGGCGTCGGTGAGGTGGCCCGAGTGGATGGCGGCGCGGCAGAGCGAGGAGTCGAGGGAAAACGACGGCGGCAGCCGCGGTGGCGCACCCCGCCGGGCACACCTCAACGATCGCAAAGGTCTCGCGGCTCAGCCTGCCCACCGCCGTGGTGTCGCACGCGATGGTCGGGGCGGGCGGCGGCGGGGGGGCAGGCGGCAAGGGGGGCTGGGGTGGCGTGGGGGGGCTGGGCGTGGGGCGGGGGTTGAAGGCAAAGGAGGAGGGGTACTCCCCGCAGGGCTCGCTCTGAACTCCGTTGGCGTAGCTGCCTGCAGACCGCCGCCACAGCAGGAACATAGCGTGATCGTTTGCACTCACAGGATCTACGCTGGGGTGCAGGAGGCAGCCTAAGCTGGCGGCGAGTGGACGTGAGGGCAGCGGCAGCAGCGCCAGCAGAAGAAGCAGCGGGGGTCCCCAGCACCGGCACCAAGCGCCGCTCCTCCACGAAACCGCCACACCCACCCACTCACAAACACCCTGTCTCTCCCCCTGCCTCCCTCCTGCCCTCCCTCCTGCCTGCCCGCCCACCTGTGTACGACGCCTTGCCGGTGTCCCAGTAAATGGTGACCAAGCCGCTGCTGGTGTTGGTGATGAGGCCGGCGTGGATGGCGGCCTTGCACACCGGGCTGTCGCTGGTGTACACGCCCGTACCCCACACGTCCCGCGGCTCGCTCAGGCAGCCGGCGGGGCACTGCATCGCCACCACCGGCTCGGCCTCACTCGCGTACTCGCGCCCCTGGGTCTCGCACAGCCACGTCGGTTGCGTGGGCGGCGAGGGGGGCGGGCGCTGGGCAAAGGCAAAGGCGGAGTCATAGGCGCCATAGTCGGAGGAGGTGATGCCGTGAGCGGTGGTGCCTGCGGCAGGCGGCACGCGGTCTTGGGCTCCAAGAGGGCAGCGTCGTGCGGTCACAAGCACTCCAGCTGTGGCAGAACACTGGTGGACCCGTTACGTGTGTGTGCGGGTGTGGAAGGGGCGGTGCAAGGCGAGGTGGCGGGCGGCGGGCGGCCGACCGGACGCCCCTTCCCGCCCCAAGACCCGCCGCTGGTGCCAGCGGTTGCAGCCCATGTGAATGGGCAGTGCCCGCCCGCCGGCTGTGGTGTGTTCCGTCCCCGCCACGCTGCGCTGCCCCGCCCACCCACCTGCGTACAACTCCCTGCCGCTGTCCCAGTACACAGTGACCACGCCGCCGCTGGTGTTGGTGATGAGGCCGGCATGGATGGCGGCCTTGCACACCGGGCTGTCGGCGGTGTACACGCCCGTACCCCACACGTCACGCGAGGCGGCGGCGCAGCCCGCGGGGCACTGCACGCTGGCCGCCGGCGTGGCGGGGCCCACCAGGTCGATGCCCATGGCGGCGGCGAGCGGGCGGGGGGCGGCGGCGAGGGCGGCCTGGGGAAGAAGAGGTCATTGAACCAGAAAGAGTCGGAGGAAGAGCCGTACTCGCCGCTGGTCAGGCCGTTGGACTCGTCGCCTACAGTCGCAAGGCGCGGGGGAGGCAGCAGAAAGAGCCCAGTCGGGCCTCAGGTGCCGGCCCCGAGCCCTCCTCGGGCGGCAGGCGGCAGCAGCGTGTGCCCGGCAGCTGCCTTCGGCTGCAGCGGGCACCCGGCCTGCGGCGGGCCAGCTGTTGGCTGCCAGCGGCGGCAGGCCGCCGTGGCTGGCGCCATGCCCGCACGCAGCTCCCCGCTTTCGCTGGCCAGCCGCGCCGCAGGTGCGGCACCGCTCACCAGGGTACGACTGCTGCCCCTCCTGCCAGGTCACCATCACAGGCCCGCCAGCCTCGTTTGTGATGACTCCGTCAAAGATGGCGGCGCAGCAGATGGAGGCGGCGCTCGGGTACGGGCCGACGCCAAACAGCGTCTGCTCGCTGCAGGCGCTCGCGCAGCACGCCGGGCACTCCGCCGTGCGGTTCTGGATAGTGCTGTTGACCAAGGAGAGGTCGGAGTTGTTGAAGGTGCACTCCAGCAGGGGGCCCCAGCTGCGGGCGGGGGAAGGCAGGGGCGTGAAGAGGAGGCAGCGTCGATGTGTGGGTGCGCTGTGGCGCGCTGTGGTCGGGGGGAGGGGGTGTGGCTGTCGCGGGCTGCGGGTGGCTGTGTGCTGGGGCCAGCGCCGCAGCGCGGCCAAACATGCGTGTGCCGTCGTGCGCTCTGGCTGCCAGGGCCAGCCTGCCGCCTGCCACCATTCCAAGAACCACGGCTGTGGAAAGGAAGAACTTCCTCTGGAGTCACCTGACGTGGGGCGGGGGCTGGGGAGGGCGCGGGCGTGGCGGCGGCCTTGGCGAGGGCGGCGGCCTTGGCGAGGGCGGCGGCTTTGGGGAGGGCGGCCGCGGCGGCTTAGGCCTGGGCGAGCGTGGAGACGGTGGTCTTGGAGACGGCGGCCTGGGAGGTTTGGGAGGCTTTGGGGATGGCGGCGGCCGCGGCGGTCTCGGGGAAGGTGGGCGAGGCCGTGGGGGACGCGGGGGCCTGAAATGAATGGAAGGAAGCCATGAATGGAAGGAAGCCGCCTCATCAGATCTCGGACAGATCCAGAGTCACCAACCGCATTGGCACCGCATTGGCACCGCCAGCATTGGCACCACCAGCATCAGCACCACCAGCCCTGCAGCAGCACCTGGGGCTTGGAGGCTTGGGGCGAGGCGGCCTGGGGCGGGGCGGCGGGTTCACTGCTGCCACCGCCTCAGTATCCTCTCCAGCCAGCAGGCGGCGGCGAGGGGCCTCGCTGCCGCTGCCGGTCGTTGCCAGCAGCTGGGACCGGGGCTGGTCGGTGCTGAGATGGTCGCCTTCCTGCTGGGGCAGCACAGCAGCGCACAGTGATGCTGAAGCGCCTGCCAGGCCAGTGCTGCTGGCCATGGATGGACGGGCCGCAGCAGGTGCCTCCTGTGCTGTCCTGCTTCGCTGTGCTACGCTGTGCTGTGCTGCCGGCAGGGCAGCACGGCAGGCACACACGCTGGCAGCAGATGGGAGGCGGGCACACAGCGGGCTGGGTGCAGGCGGCAGGTAGGCGCCAGTCACCTGCACGCCTGCGTGGTGTGTGGCGCTGCAGCATGCCGCCGCTGCCAGCAGAGCCAGCAGGATGGCGCTGCACCCTTCATGGGCCCCACTTGCTGGTGGTGCTAAGCGCACTTGGCGTGATTGCTGATTTGCAGTAGCCAGGCTCCAGCGTAGGTCCTCACAGAACGCACTCCTGCAAATGAAAGGACATTGGCGCGGCAAACACTCGAGGCAGGTCTGCTGCTGGAGGCGGCAGAAAGCAGCGGCCGCCAGCGGTGGCCGGCTGGTTACGTCGGCATATGCCGGCCGGTGCCCGCTTCTGTTTGCGCTCACCCGCCACACTGTTGCAGCGCAACAGACGCCAAGCGCACCACTGCAGGCACAAAACCCCAGCTGCGGGCGTGGGTAAGCCTTAAGAGCAGCTTCCTACCACGCACTCGCCAAGCTTGAGCTCAACCCCAAGAGGAACCCACAGTTTTGTGGGCGCTGATGAGGAGGGAACAAAAGACACAAAGTGGCACGCAAGGTGCGCAGACGTGCGCATAGGTGCCGCAGGCCTGCGTTGGGTTTGGGCGATCAGCGGCGACCACGGAGTTCCATTGTACTCACAGGCGCCGATCGACGCGAGCATGAAGCGCACGGGTACAGCCACTTAAGCATGAGCACCACCAGTGTACCCCCGCCACCACCGCACTGCTGGCACAGGGGTGTGTGGATTCCACACCCATATGCCCTCCGCCACACCTCCCTCGCCATGCTGCTCTGCTGGCGCTATTAGCGCTGCTGGCGTTGCGCTGGCGCAATCCCAGGAATCCTCAGCAGCTGTCCGCACGCGCCGCAATCTCAGCAAGAGCCTCCAGCGCCGGCCCGCCGCCTGCGCCGCCATGTCTCGAATGAGCCACCAGATTGACGGCTTGGCGAGTATGCGCACCAGCACATCTCCTGCGCGCACTCTGGATTCACGTCTTCTTCACCTGCCAGCTGATGTGGGCTTCTGAGCACCTCTGCTCCGGCAGGCGGTAGGTGGCGGTGCACGTCCACCCGCTCAACAGCAGCTGAGCCTAAGGACCTGCGCTCACCACAGCGCACCTTGGAACGCTCTCCCATGCTGCAGCAAGGTCTCAGAACCTTGATAAATTCACAATACAACCTGAGATAAGGCGGCAGCGGGACAGTAGTGCTTTTCGGAGCAAACACCCACCCCCTGCTGCCAGCCTCCCTCCAAGACTGACTGTCGTGCCAAAATCAGTGGTTGCCCGCCAGATTTGACTGTAGCGACCATGTGGGGCGCCCTGGACAGGAAGCCAAGGGGCGTGCGGGCTGGCAGCTACACAGCCGAGATTGTTTGGACCTCAGCAAGTGCCTACACCACTTCTGAGCGGCGGCAGGAGGAGAAGGGCGGCGGCGGCAGCGGTGCTGGTTGCGGCTGCGGTGAACTTGCTGCCACCGACGAATCACACGAGTCGAGCGATGATCTAGTCGAGCTGCTGGATGACAGAGAGGGCTGGGATGTGCGGTGGGGCCCCGAGGCGAGCGACAGGCAAGCGGCCGAGGCGCCCTGCGGCCGGCTGGGTGCCTCTCCGTCTCCTCGCTCCGCTCGGCACCGCACATTGACTGCCTCCCGCCACCTGCTGCCATTCAGGCCTGAGGTCCGTGCTGCCCTGCCCCACCGCACCATCCGATGCTTCTACCAGTCAGTCAGCCTCCTGGCGGACCGAGGGTGCCCGCAGAAGGGCCACTTCTCTTACGCCGTCGGCGACCCTGCCATGGTAGGCGGATGCTGCCAGCTGGCGGCGCGATGCTCCCGCACTTGCGCGAAGCTCCTTCTGCCAGCCGGTCGGGCAGTGTGCAGCATGCCAGCAGCGCCAGGCCTGATTTATGACACATGCCTCGCTGAGGACGTGGAGTGCTGTTACGTGTGCTCACTTCATTCCTCCCTCCATCCATCCCTCCATCCATCCCTCCACCGCACAGGTCAAGTATGAGCGCCCTGGCGACCCGCAGCTGGGAGATGTGGCCATGCTGCACATCTATGCCCTGTTCGAGGTCAGCACTACAAGAGATCATCATCATCATCCGCTCACAAAGCCGCTGCCTCAGCTGCCCGGGTTGCGAGTCGGGTCGGCTGTCCTGCCATGCCCGCACCACCAGCAGTCACTTTCCGTCGCACCCCTGCCTGCATTCCAGGACGAGCATGGCGTGGCCTATATTGTGCCAAAGTGGAATTACTTCTGGTACAGATCAGCGGGAACGACGCATAACGACCCTGTTGTTTTCTGGCTTTGCTAGCTGGCTCAGCCGCCGCTGCGCACACCTCTCGCACACGCCTTGGTGCCGCCCGGCTGCCTGGCTGCCGCTCTGTTTCTTGTGTAGGGAGGACATCTTTGCCCGGGCGGACGACCCGCGCAGCCAGGAGGATGGGTGCATGCGCGGGCGGCGGGAGGTGTTCGTGGGGGCGGAGGTATCCAGCGGGGGAGCGCACCTGGTGCTCAGTGAGCGGGACGAGTGTGTGTGTATGAGGGGACCGGTTCAGAGCATTGGGGGCCGGCGGCAGGCATCTGGGCATCCCAGCCGATGCTGGCTGCTAGCTGGGAGCGCCACCTGGCTGGGCACGAGCCGCTGCGCCGCTGTACCTCGCCTCCCGCAGACAGCCAGCTGGAGGGCAACCTCAACCAGGTCCCCAACCTGCTGTGCCCCTGCACGCTTGCGCACCGCGACGAAGTGGAGGACATAGAGGTGGGGGCAAGCACGGTGTGCGTGTTTTGTGGGAGGCCTGGAGCCATCATGCTGCTGCCATGATGCCATGGCCAGGTACCACCGTCGGGGTGGTATTCCTCCAGCCATGAGCTGCACCCTGCCAACCTGCATGCGATTGCGTCCTCTGCTCTACCATAGGCGTTCGAAGCGCGCAAGGACTGCTATTGGTATCGGTACAGCTATGACTCCAGCATGCTGCGGTGGGAGTTTGTGCCGCCGCCGAGCGAATGCGGCGGCGGCGGCGGCGGCGGCTGGAGCCCGGCCACGCTGCCGGCCGACCAGCCGCTGCGCATGGTGGAGCTGTTTGCTGGGCTGGGCACGGTGGGTTGCTGCTGTGCGGCGCGGCGCTACTCTACTGCCGTGGCTCTGCTCCAGTTGCGTGCGCTCCCACAGACTCATGCCATTGAGTTGCCTCATCGCCAGCATTGTGTGCCCCCACTTGCTGGCATCCTGGCTGCTTGCACTGCCACCTTACGCTGCCGCTGCCGCCTGGCCCATGGCGCCGCCAGCAGGTATCGGATGCGGCGGCATGTGCCGGCTTCCAGCCGGTGTGCGGGTTGGAGGTGGACGCCGCCGCCTCCTCCTCCTACTGCGCCAATGTGCCGGTGGCGGGTGGCGAGGAGATGAGTGTGGAACAGTTCCTGCACGCGCTGGCGAGGGGTGAGGAGGGGATGCCGGGTGAGCACGCCGCTGCCGCCGCCGATCCAGCCTTGGCTCCCAGTGCACAGTTTGCAAACAGACATGTGTGCACACACATGATGGTGCCTTTTCAGATGCTGTACGTGCTTGTACTTGCTGCGCTGGCTGGGCCCTGTCTCCAATCCGGCTGGCTCTGCAGAGCCCGGCAGCATCGCCTACCTCCACGCCAGCCCGCCCTGCCAGGCGCTGTCCCCGCGCAACCGCTTCCGAAGCTTTGGCCGGCTCAAGGCTGAGCTGGCACCGCTGCTGGAGCAGGTGCGCTTCACGCTTGCTTTGGAGATCAGCATAGCTGGGCCTCCAGTCCACCCCCCAGCTTATGTCCCGGCAGCTGGTACCTGCAAGCTGGGGAAGCCTGGTGCACCAGCACAGCACGCGTGCAGCAGCAGCTTGCCTGTGCACCTGCCCCTTGTGCGTGGCTGAGGTGGCGGCTGGGTGGTGCTGGAACTGGGTGACTGCAATTCTGCAGGTTGCGGAGGCCGTAGAGACGCTGCTCCCCGCATACTTTTCACTAGAAGAGGTGCCGCAGCTGCTGCTGACGCGCCTGGCGCTCAAGGAGAGGCCGCGGCCCGGCAGGCGGCCCGGCAAGCTTCAGCAGGCGGCTGCAGCAGCGGCGGCGGATGCGGCCTTTGATGAGGGGGAGGGGGTGGAGGAGGTGGCAGAGGAGGAGGTGGAGGAGGAGGCAGAGCGGATGGCGGGCAGCAGCAGCGAGGGCAAGGAGGATGGTGAGGCGGATGTGGAAGAGGAGGATTCTGCCTCCACCATCGAAGGTGGGCTGGCTGCCTGCTTGCATGGATGCTTGGGTTGCAGCTGGCAGGCTGCCGCCAAAACATACCGGATCACACACATACACAGGCCGGCATGTCTCTCTCCCTTCCACTCTGCTCCAGACAGACTCGCCATGCTGCCCCTGCTGCTGCCGCCTGTTTGCCGTGCAGTGCGCCCCATGCTGCCGCTGCTGTGCCGCCTGCTGCTGGGCGGCTACCAACTGGATGTGCGTGTGCTCAACTCTGCACACTACGGGGTGCCGCAGTGCCGCCAGGCAAGCGCCGGCAGGCGGCCTTGCTTGTGGCCCAGCTGGTGTCTCGTGCCGGGGCCTGCTGCCAAGCACCTGTGGCTCGGCACACTGCCTGGTGCTGCCAGCTGAGCTGTCGGCCCTCAGCTACTAGTCACAAATCCTGCCTGTTCATGCCGAGGCGGCTGACGTGCAGCTCCTCACCCTGCCGCCCTGCAGCGCGCCTACATCTTGGCAGCCCGATGCGGCCACCGCCTGCCGCTGCCGCCGGCGCCGCGCTACCACGCCGAGCACGGCCCCAACCGCCTGGTGCACTTTGCCAGGCGGGACCCCTTGCTGATTCCGCTGGCCGACTGGACGCCGCTGTGGGTGCAGAGCGAGGTGAGCGGGCGGCCAGCAGCTTGCGTGGCGGCAGGATGGGTGCCAGCGGCCCAAGTCGCATGTTTGCCTCGGCCTGTGCTCCCACGCCTATGTGTTCCCAATTCCTGGCGATGACTCTCTGCATCACACCCCTTCCACTGCTGCTGCTGCTGCCAGAGCGACTGGTTTGTGCTCTGCCACCAGCCCCATCGGGCCGCCACCCTGCTCTGCTCCGTTTGCAGCCCAGCATGCCGCCGGCGGTGACTGTGGCGGAGGCCATTCACGACCTGCCCCTGCTGCTGGGTGGGGGCGGCGGCAAGGCCATGCCCGCCGGACGCGCCTGCCTGCCATACCGGCCCTCTGCCGCCGCTGCCGGGCAGGCGCAGTGTGCGGAGGGCGGTACCAGCAGATACGTGCAGTACATGAGGCGACACGCGGTACCGGGCGTCCTCCTGTACCATGAACGCCGCCTCTCGGAGCGAGGTGCAAGCGCCGCCGCATGCACTGCAGCTGCACTCAGCCCTCCAGAAGGCGGGGGGCCAGCCAACCACTGCCATTCCAATGCGCGCTGCAGGCTCCTCGCCCGTCGACCGCCACGCCCCCTTCACCACCATCTGCGGGCAAGTGCCTCCCAGGTGGTGTGGCTGTGACATCAGCCACAAGCGGCCCCGCGTGCATGCAGCCAGGCCGTCAACGGTTGGGTGCATGTGCCTGCCGCTGGGCTGGATCAGGAGCATTGGTACCCAGTCATGCACGAGGGTGTGTTGAGGCTCCTCTCTCCCTGCACATCTCGCAGGTTCTACCACCGAGGCACGCGGCCGAGCAGTGACAAGGCGCAGGCCAACCAGCACCCCGACGAGCCTCGGTGAGCACCCCGCTGCAGCTGGCCGGTGGCGCCTCAACGACTCAGCTCAGCCACAGCTTGCGGGCTGGGCCCGCTGGAGAGCGGTTGGGCCGTGGCCCCCAGGCTGCTCGTGTTGGAGCCTGCCCCTCTGCCTTTCAGGCTGCAGCGTCCCCTCGCATCCGCCTCGCCCGCCGCCTCAGCTGCCGCTGCCTGCCGCCGCTTCGCCTGCCGCCTCGCCTCACCTCCCGCCCCGCAGGTGGTGGACCATCGCGGAGCGCAAGCGCGCGCAGTCGCTGCCCGACCGGGTGCAGCTGTTTGGCACGCTGGGCCAGAAGGCGGAGCAAGTCGGCAACGCTGTGCCCTGGCTGCAGGTGGGGCGCCGCCGCGTGGTTGGAGCCAACACCACCACAGGGGGCACGTGGATCAGTATCACAATAGTCGGAACCAACAGTACAGGGGCATGTGGAGAAGTGGGGCCACGGGCGCGGCAGGGACAGGCAGGGGAGGCTGCCGACCCAGGCTGCCGTGCCACGGTGTTGCAGGCCAAGGCGGTGGCCGATGCTGTGTATGCTGCAGCCACGGGCAGGCCCCCCGTGGACCCTGTGCCTCTGCTCAAGGGCTTTGGACCCGTGGCGGAGGCAGCAGGCGCGGCAGGCGCCGCAGAGGACCCCGCTGTGGGGCCGGTGGCGGGCCCAGACTGCGTGGCCGGGGCGGGAGCTGGCGAGGCGGTGGTGGCGGCGGCGGCGGCGGGGCCAGTCACGCCGGCTGCACCGCTGCTGGCAGCTTGCCGTGGCGTGGATGGAATTGGGCAGGAGGCTGGGGGGCAGGGTGCCTGCCAGGCATCTGGTGAGCTGGAGTTCGCCACTGCCAAGGCCGCAGCACACAGCCAGGAGGGGGAAGAGGCCGGCGCCGAGACTGGCGCCGCCAAGCGCCGCCGCATCGCCGACGAAGGGGGGCAGCGGGACGGGCGGGACAGCATCAGGGACAGCAGCTGCCAGGCCGTGTAGAGGCGCCGCCGCCGCAGCGGGAGCTGGGCGGCAGCTGAAAGGGGGCTGGTGGGCCAGGCGGGGAAGCAGGACAACAAGGACTTTCATTGGGGGACTGAACTGAACTTTTCATTGGGTTTTCATTGGATTGCCGAAGGACTCTGTCAATTTCCAAATACCTTGTAAATCCCTTCACTATGCAGGAGGGACCCAGGCAGCAAGCAGGATGCGGCAGTGGCGCCGCCGGCGGGGCGGAGTCGGGTGTGACAACCTGTGGCCTTGGACCGCCTGCTCCCTCCAGGTTGTTCATATGCCAGCTTAATCTGCGTGGAAGCTTTTTTGGTGGCCTGCAAGGGACGCTGGACCGGCTGGAGTCCGGCAGCCAGCTCTCCTGGCGCGCGCAGAGTTCCACCCATGCCTAACCCGCCAGGCGATCGATCGATCCACACATCCAACAGCAGCACTCTCAGGCTGCTCCGATTTCTCTTGCAGCCACCGCCACCGCCTCCCGACATGCACGTTGTGGCGGCTACGGCCCTGCTGGGGCAGGCGTCCTCTCTGAGGGGAGCGGCGGTTCCCTGCAACGCCAAGGCCGCAAACTCGAAGTCCAGGCCGCGGGTGCGAAGCATGCCAACAACCCTTGACCTACGGCCTGCTCCACGCAGCATCCCAGCGGTTGACCCGTTGGCAGCATGCCACCAGCGCATGGATGCACACCGCCGTTGAGCCGGTGCAAGCCTGGGCGCCTGCCAAACTGCCGCCGCCGCCGCCGCCGTCCGGTGCCGCCTGCAGGTGTGCCGCGTGCTGGCCACCGCGGCTGCGGAGAAGCAAGCTGAGGCGGGCACCTTTGCTGACGATTTCACAAAGGAAATCGTGGAGGAGGAGAAGAAGTGAGCTGCTGCTTGCCTCGCGCCCGGAGGCCGACGCACTCTGCCGCGTGCGGCCTTGCAGGGCGGCTCTGCGACCAGACACACCCGCCAACCTTGCCCAGCCCTGCCCTGCCCCGCTCTTTTCGCGCAGGTACATCTTGCAGACCTACGCCCGCCCCGACATTGTGTTCACAAACGGGGAGGGGGCTCGCATGTGGGATGCCCACGGCAAGGAGTATCTGGACTTTTCCGCGGGCATCGCGGTGAATGCGCTAGGTGGGGCATGCAGCAGGCGCCGAGCGAGCTCAGTGGCTTGATTGCGCACCAGCTGCGGACCTGCTGCAGCTGGGTGGCGCAGCTGGGGAGGGCGGCCGTGCCCGGCTCCGGCGCCGAGGAGGGCGCGGGGCGCCCATCCTCGCCGTGCCGCTGCTGCCGCTGTGCCACGCCGCTGCTTGCCTTGCTGCTGCTGCTGTGCCACGCCGCTGCTGCTGACACCCTGGCGCTGCTCCTGTCGCCGCCGCTGTTGGCCCGCAGGCCACGGCGACCCTCGCTGGCTGGAGGCGGTGACCGAGCAGGCGGGGGTGCTGTCCCACGTCAGCAACCTCTTCCACACTGCCCCTCAGGTGGGGGCTCCCTCTGCCGCCCGGGGCAGCTCTGCCTCCTGCTGCTCCTGCTGCTCGGCTGCTGATTCAGCGCCTGCGAAGGACAGCCTGTGCATGGATCTGGGGCTGCACGCTTCGTCACAGCCTAGCCTACCTGCAGCCCCCCAGTGGATGGGCTGCATCCAGCTGGCATCCTGGCAGGCCGCCCATGCCACCACTCGCCCTCAGAGGCGCGCGCTACCACGCACCTGCTCCCAGTGGCGGCGCCACCGAGTGCCCTGACCCTGCTGCCTGCCTGCCTGCCCCCCGTGCCCGCCCCCCCCGCAGGTCAAGCTGGCCAAGCGGCTGGTGGAGAGCAGCTTTGCGGACCGGGTGTTCTACGCCAACACGGGGACCGAGGCGAACGAGGCCGCCATCAAGTTTGCCCGCAAGTACGCCAAGGTCAAGGGTGAGCCGCGGCTGTGTGTGTGTGTGTGAGAGAGGGAGAGAGGGAGAGAGGGAGAGAGAGAGAGGAGGATACGGGCAAGGAGAGGGAAGGATAAGGGGCAGGTGTTCAGCCTGTCAAGTGTGTAGAGGGCAAGGGTGAGCCTGGAGAGGAAAGGAGCAGGGGGAAGCCAGAGGAGGGAGCCAGACGGGGAGGCGGTCAGCCACGCCGGAAGGCAGTTGGCACGGGCGGGGCTTCGGCCAGCAGCACGGGAGGGAGGCGCACCGGACGGAGCAGGCGCTGCCTGCCGCGGCCGCCATGCGTTCTCGCCCTGCCCGGCATGTGCCGGCCCTCACGCTCACCAGCCTCCCCTGTCTCCCTCCCCTGTCTCCCTGCCCCGTCTCCCTGCCCTGTCTCTCTCCCACTCCTCGCCTCTCATCCTCCTGCCGCCTGCAGCTGGCCTGGACCCTTACAACGCCGACACTGCCTTGGAGTGCGCCACCGAGATTGTGTCCTTCACCGGATCCTTCCACGGCCGCACCATGGGCTCGCTGGCCCTCACATACAAGGTGTGTGCAGCGGTGCTGGTGTGTATGTATGTGTGTGTGTGTGTGTGTGTGTGTGTGTGTGTGGCGGCGGTGGAGTGTGTTTGTGTATGTGGTGCGCCAAAGGTGCAGCAGGCCTCGCTGCTGACGCGCCCTCTCCCGGCCGCTGCACCCGCTCCGTGTGTCATCATCCTATCCTGTTGCTTGCCCCCGTGCTGCTCTGGCTGCCTCTCATATGACTTATGTGTACTGCATGTACCGCATGTACCGCTGCAGGACCAGTACAAGACCCCCTTCCAGCCCGTCATGCCCGGCTCTGTCATGGTGCCCTACATGTGAGGGGGCAGAATATGGTACAGCTCAGTACCACCAACATCAACGCAATACAACACCCTCTTGCCTGCCCCAGGCCGGAAACTGTTTTCAGTGGATGTTTCCGGAGCAGGCCCAGGCCTTGCCCTGATGGACGGCCCGCGTGCCAGCCAGCGGCCACGCATGCCCACACGCTCTCTGTGTGCCCTCCCTGCCTGTGCAGGGACCTGGAGGCCGCCAGGGGCGTGATCAAGAAGGGCAAGACTGCCGCCGTGTTTGTGGAGCCCATCCAGGGGGAGGGCGGTATCAACCCGGGTGGGCGCGCTGGGTTGGTGATGTGGTGGGTGGTTTGGCAATGGGTTGGGCAGCTGTGTGCCCAGCTGCCTGCCCGTCTGCCATGCGGCGTGCCTCTGCTCCCCGTTGCCAGGCCCCTCACACACAGCCCCCCGCCCACACACATGCTAGCGCCTTACCCTGGCCCCTGCCCTCCACCCTCCCACCCGCCCTGCAGCCTCCCAGGAGTTCCTGCAGGGCCTGCGGCAGCTGTGCGACGAGGCGGACGCGCTGCTGGTGTTTGATGAAGTGCAGGTGCTCGTGTGCTGTGTGTGTGTGTGTGTGTGTGTGTGTGTGTGTGTGTGTGTGTGTCTGTG